AAGGCGCAGGGCGCTTCTCCGGCCGCGGCACGGCGGAAAGCGGCCGAGAGGACGCGCAGCGCCGGGTGCACGTCCAGCACCAGGGCGCGGGGCTGCGGGCGCTGGGCGCAGAGCTCCAGCACCAGGCAGCCCGCCAGCGCCCGCGCCTCGGGCCGCAGCTCCAGCCCCAGGTGCAGGTGCCTCAGACTGAAGAGCTGCGAGCTGGACGCCGACGCCACGTCCGGCGGCGGCTCGGGAGGCGGCGGCGGGGCCGGCGGAGCCTCTGGCCCAGCCGCGGAGCCCTTGCGGCAGCAGCACAGGCCGGGCGGCCGCGGAGCCGGAGCCGCCATGGAGCGGCGGAGAAGGAGGAGGAGGCGGCGGCGGAGGCGGCGGCTGCTATGTGAAATCCATGGGCGGGCGGGGAGGAGGGAGGCCCCGGCGGCTGGAGCGGCCGGGGCGGGGAGGGGGAGGCGGAAAGGACCGGCCGAGAGAGCGCAGGGCCCGGGCCCGGACAGCAGCGGCGGGCGCGGCCGCCGGGGGGCGCCGCGGGGGCGCCGGGGGGCGCTCGAGGGCGGCCCCGCCCCGCCCGCTGCGCGCGCACCCGCCCCGCCCCCGGCGCCTCAGCCCGGGCCGGGGACAAGGCGGGCACCGGGACGGCCACGGACACCGGCAGCGCTCGGGGGAGAGCAGCGTTCACTCGTGCATTTTGCTCGTCAGTTCGTTCATTCCCTTACTCACGGGCGTGGGTATCCGCGCGTGCCGCTCTGAGCGCCGGCGGCTCCGTCCGGCCGTGCCCCTTTCACAGGTCAGCTTTTACCGGCCCACGCAGAGTTTCCCTCCTCTCCCCATAGGCCAGCCCCGGTGCCTGGTCCGGACACACCGATCCCACCTCTCCTGCTCTGGGGACGGCCATTGGCATGGCCACAATGCCCCGCTCGGATCACTCGTGTCCCCTCACAGCCAGCGCTGTTCCTAGCGCACCGCCTGAATGTCTCACTTTCACCGTCCCCCGCCCCAGCTCCACGACAAGCAGCCCCAAACCCTCCACCCCACGGCTTCCAGCAGAGCTGATTCTTGCACCCGCATCCCACCGGTACATAGTTTGGCTTCCTCACTCCTCCTGGTCACACACCCACATGGAGCTCACAGCTAACCCTACACAGCCTCCCTTCTCCCTGCACCCCATACACACCCGACCCGGTTTTTTAATCCCTTCTCTCCCAGCTGGGCTGCCCGTAGTTTCCTGCCTCCAGCTCTCACTGCAAACTGGCCCCAGAGCCCAGCTCATACATAATGTACTTTTCCCCAGAAGTCGAGGCAATCAATCACACACCCTCTACTGCTACCTTCCTAAATGGGGAAGGACAGAAACCACAAAATTATCAGCTTTGTACAAGCACTTGTTTCTCTGCATGGCAACAGCAGGAGTCAGCAAGCTCGAAGGAAGATGATGTGTGCAAGTAACTGTGATTTGCACTTCCCCCAGGCAAAGAGAAGCACGGTCTCTGCCCCATGTAATGACACCTCTCTAAGTTATTTTCACTCTAATTTTCACTGTTATGCTTTGCCTACCTCACTGCCTGATGAGGCTCCAAGGCGCATATTTTGGACAAGACAGGAACATTTCTCACATGGTTGTGGGTTTAATGAATCCATAGTGGTACATTCTAAAAGCCTCCCAAACCTTACACTAACAACTGCAGCATCTGCACCAAATTCCAGCTCAGTTTCCACTGTATCGTCACACCAGAGGCAAAAATTGTGGCCTCAGCAAATTGTGGCTGCGGTTACATGCTCAACCAAGGGTTAAACAAATCACAGTATCACCCTCCACCGACCTGAAGCTAAAGAAAACCTTTGTGTAATCACTTATATATAGTAAAACACATGCTACTGTTGCAGTAAAAATTAACAAGACAGCACTCAGGCTCTTTGGTTGCTGCGTACAGCGCTCCACACTTTCTCAGTGTTCTTTTGAACCACCTTCAAAAATAAATTTTGCGTCTGCAATAACCCCCCTTGTAACTAAGAAAAACATTTTGTCCTGCCATTTTTGCTGTCCACGTCTTCTTTTAATAAGTCAAATGTCTTGCTTTTATCCTTCTGATACCACCTCTCACACCAGCTGCCTCTTGAAAAAATTCAGCTTCCTCCAGTTTTGTTTCCAGTGATGCACTAAGCCTGTTTGACCTGGCTTTCATCTACAGGTGATGGGCAAAGCACAGCCCCAGCAACCCCAGGATCTGACCCTGCACACCTTCACCACAGAGAAGGTGAAATGTCATCAACCAGGACAACTTTAGACTCTGATTACACCAATCTAACTGCATGTTTAACTGCAGAGTAATTTTAGAAGAATCCTACCTGCACTTTGGTTGAAGTCACAAGCAAGTGTAGTGTGTCCACTCATCAGACAGATGAGATGAGCAGAAACACATTCTCTTGAAGAGGCTCTAAGCTTTTGATAATGAATCAGGATCAGCTGCACTCACTGTGTTTGGACAGAATAAGCAAAACTGACGTAATGGAAATTCCAGAGAACAATACAGTAACCAGTTATCCCAGGCAAATCTCTCTCATCTTGGGCACCTGCTGGTCTTGGGCCACAGCCTTTGCTGTAAAATGTGCTGGTTTTGGCTGGGATAGAGGGAATTTTCTTCACAGTAGCTGGTATCAAGCTGTGTTTGGGGTTGGTACTAAAAACAGCGTTGATAATTCAGAGATGTTTTATAGCTGTTGCTGAGCAGGGCTTGCACAGAGCCAAGGACATTTCTGCTCCCCACCTGACCAGCAGGGAGGCTGAGGGTGCTCAAGGAGATGGTAGTAGACACAGCAGAGACAGCTGACCACAGAGATATTCCAGACCATATGGCATTATAAAAGCTGGAGAGGAAGGAAGGAACATTCAGAATGATGGTGTTTGTTTTCCCAAATCACCATTACACACAATGGAGCTCTGCTTTCATGGAGATAGCTGCCCATGGGCAATGAGAGATGAATACTTTGTTTTGCTTTGCTTGTGTGGTTTCCTGCTTTCCCTGTTCAACTGTCTTGGTCTCAACTCTCAAGTTTTCTAGCTTCTACCCTTTCAGTTCTCTCCCCCATCCCACAGGACTGTGTGGAGTTTAGTTGCCAGCTGATATTAAACCAGAACAGAAGCATGTGCTATCTCCCACGCTATTTTGGGTAGGATCTCTTTAAGGAAAGTCTCTAGCCCAATCCTAGTGTCTTATTCTATTCCTCATAGGATGAAGTCTTCTCTGGATATCACATTATAAATTCTAAAGCAGAATCCAACTCCTGAACATTCCAATCATCATTATCAACCTCTTTCAGAATGCTCCAAAGATAAAGATATTTCAGTCCCATTTATAAATATTAATGTTCTTTCCTTCCCCCTTCAGTGACAGGGCCTTTAGCCAGGCCTCTGCTTGCTCCTGTGGTTCAGGATGAAAGCCAGTAAAAAAATTACAGCTACCCCTGTGAGCGGCAATACTTCAGTACACCTGTGAGACAAGTGCCAAATGAAGCACATAAGTGATCACAACAGAAAGAACGTTTCCTTCTGTCAGTCTCCGACTTTAATTCCAAAGTAACAGTGCTGCAGCCAAGGTTTAACAAATGGTTGAGATAATCCCTGCTGTTCACAGATGACTGTTCACCTGCTCCATCACAGACCCTTAACACCTTGCTGAGCTGTTTCAGGTAACCAAAGCTGCAGTAAGGATTCAGCTCTTTAGGAGAGTCTAACTGGGAAGCAGCAGTTTGGGGCAGTGAATGCTGAGCTGTTCCCCCTCACACCTATGCTACTGTTACAGCCAGAACCTACTGAAAAGAGCAGCCTCACTTCACCTCCCTTCCTGTGGGTGGTGCCTTCCTGTCTCCTTCCTTTGTACAGCATTCCTGCTTTCTGCAAGTTAGCTTTCTGAACTGGACCACACAAGAGCCACTGCTGGCATCGGGAAGGGAAGAGGAAGTCCCAGCCTGGAAGAAGAAGGAGGATAAGATCAGGATGGCTCCCCTTTTTCCCAGACTGCCATTAGCTCAGCCTTAGCTGCAAAGTGAAGCCACACACTGACCCTGCAGCATGCAGAACCAGGTACATTAGCTCATTTCCTTCAAAGGAAGTATTAAAAGTCCGTGGGGTAAACTCCAAGCCTGGGAGCAGGGTAAAGTCTGTGCCCCTTAATTCTTGTTTTGGACAAGAGTTAAGAACAATCACAACAATGCTTTTTATTCTACTTCAAGTTACAGTGCAAGCTCTGTTAATACCACAATCTGCCTGTAGTACTACTAGGTAGAAATGCTTCTATGACTTTGCAGTCATGTCCCTCTATAAACAGTAGTGCTTTCAGGTAAAGAAAATGGAAAATCTGAGCCTAGGAAGGTCTTCCACCTGACCTCAGCCCTTCAAAGTTGGCTTGAATACTTGGACTATAAATTATTACTCCCTGTACTACTCAACATACATGTATTGCAAGCTACCCCCATGCTGGAGGGCACAAAAATCACTCACTACACTTTTAAAGTGTACACTCCTTTTTTAAAGAAACACCTTTACTCTGACAAATGTAAGATCAGACTGAGGTACATAAGAAGAGGAAAAAAAAAATCCTGGAAACTTGTTCCTAAAGGCTCAAAAAGGTGCAAAGTTCTTTATGTGCCCAAAACAAACCACTTATGCCAATAAAATTTACAAAACCCAAAATAGTTTTATTTACTTTTCAGATTTCTGCCTCAATGAGACATTTTGCAAACATGCTAAGGCTACAAAATGTCCAAGTTGACAAAGACATGCAACGCTGACCATTCAATAAGTCACGGTTATCACAGGAGCGACTGTGTCCCCCCGGGCCACAGGTCCCAAAAAACAGGGATGGTGTACAGTGATCACGGCAACGCACTACGCAGGACCCAGTAACCTGAGGTAGGTCATTTACAGTAAGAAAACTATGTCCTACACCAGTGTTACATCCTGATCAACAGGAACCCCTTTAAGGTTCCAGAAGACGTGGGGTCGAGGACCGCTTCCTTAACAAGTGTGCAAGAAAGAAACAGGAAATATCGATGTTGATTAATCTTAGTATAAGTGAGCAGAACAAAGAGTTAGTGGTACCCATGCCAGTGAAAGCCAACCTAAATCTCTGAGGAGTGTTAGCAGCTTCAAGGTAAAGAGTCAGTCAGCTGAAGCAATTCTGAAAAGGCTTTCCTGCCAGCATACAGGGTATGATTTGAACCTTATGATTAATTTGTTACAGATCATTCCACAAACAGTAAGATTTTGGTTGTGTTAGATCAGCGAAGCAGGAAGAGCTTGGGCTTGCTTGCATTAAAATAAACTCTGCTGATACAGTAAGAAATACTGTGTCAGGACACTGAGAAAATACAAGGCCTTAATGTGACCCAGGAGTGGTTTTTCCACTCGGATCACTAAAAACCCTGCTTTGGAAAAGCATCATGGGAAGCAGCAGCCCCTGCCGTGGTGAACATCAGCAATGCCCCAAATAGCTTTGATAAATTACAATGCAATAGTTACACCACAGAGCTCTTCTCTGCTGCGCTAGACAAAGATGTGACAATAAAGGACACTATTGCAAAGCTTCACTTCCACTCAGACACGCAGAAAATCTGGCACTAGGAAAAGACGAACTGTAAAAGACAAAATGTTGTCTGATACAGTCCAATAAAGCCAGATCTCTGGTACCATAAACTGTACAAAAATGATAGAAAAGAATATGCACTGTTATTAATACAGTGCTTATTTTAATATAAAATAAACAGCTTACATTTCCACTGTAAATATAGGCTATATACAGAATTATGTATAGATATAGCTACATGTATAAAGCTTCATTATAGGCCTCTGATACATTTATAACTATGGCTCCCTGAGCCATTTGTAGAGTGCATTTAATAACAAAAATTAGTAATATGGAATAAATACAATAATAAAAACATGAAGAGTTCTTCTGACATGGTTTTAAAAACTCTGACTTGACACATTGTGCTAAAAATTAAAAGATGAAAAGGCAATAATCTGCGAGGAGGAGGAAGAGCTGGCCTGCCACAGGCAGGGAGCGTAGCTCTCCAAAATTAAAGTGACTTTGCCCTGAATTTCAGCCCTTGACAGCAACCTTGTTCTCTGCAGCAGCAAACATAGCATAGAAGCGCGAGTTCTCGTTGGCCAGAAGGGCAGTCGGGGTGTCAAATTCCACTACCTGAAATCAAACAAGGCAAGTAAAATTAAAATATGTCAATAAAATTCAGCAGAGAATTGACTCCCACCCCTTGGACTTGTGATGGTAAAGAATAGAAAACACAGCAGTCATCTTTAGATGAGACACCAGGCAGTGAAAGTACCTGCATTTATGGATACTGAACCTGGAATGCTTCAAACTGGCTCATAAACTGGAACTAGCCCAACAGGAAGCAACCTCTGGTTAGGGCAGAGGCAGATGCTATGGGCTTTTGCCTTCTCTACCTTTAAGAGCCTTGCCCAGTGTTCTTGAATTTAACTGTTTATGGCTCCCAAATGGAAGCCTGAAAAATAGGTAAAGTATCTGTCGTGGGTGTCCTTGATGGCACAGAGCTTTATGAAAGTAATGGGAAACTGCCACAGAGCCCCAGCAGAGATGCTTATGCTATTACCCATCTTAGAATTAACCTACAAAGAAGTCTCAAAAAGATTTTTAAAGACAGACTGTTATTCTATGGTACTTTCTTGGTGTGAAAAAAAAAAATTTGTCATTGATCTTGCCACAGCCAGCAACTGATTCTGTTGGAGTATAATTACCAAGAATATGAATGAACACAGGATCTTCTAGCCTGTAGTGCAGCTGTTCCCTCAGTTCAGTCTGCACACATGGCATCACCAGACCAGAGGCAGAGACGCCTCCCTGCTCACCTGTCCCTGTGTTAGCACCATGATCCGATCACAGCCCAGGACTGTGTGCAGGCGATGAGCAATCGTTAACATAGTGCAGTCTGCAAACGCCTCTCTGATGGTCTCCTGGATCAGTAAGTCAGTCTCCGTGTCCATAGCAGCTGTTGCTTCATCCAGGATCAATATCTGAAAACAGCACAGAATCCTGGCTGTTACCCATGCTCACACCTTCCCTCCCTGAATATAAAAATACATAAAGTAGGCAGAATGGCCACTTCCAAGAATTGTCACAACTGGCAATCCTACAGAGTTCTGGGCACACAGGTTTTACAAGTATCCTTTCAGTTTTCTTTATGTAATTGCTTTCAACAAAGCCTATGGATGACATTTACATTTTATGGTCACAGCTACATGTGGGTTATGACCTGGGCCTCAGCTTTCTACTACCTTCAATTTTATATTCAATAGACGAATGTCAAATATAAATTTTACCAGTAAACTAATTTGACATATCCCTGGTGGTGACATTCCTCCTGGAACAAGTCAATACTGACCAGGCTTAATGGCTTTCTTATGCTGGATAAGAAATCTCTTCCCCTCAGACCTAACCGATTTGGAGTGATTTCTTGTCAAAGCTGAACTGGATGTGCTTTGTGCAGGTACTGCAGGGACAGCAGTAACTTCCGCTGAGCAGTCTGATTTCAAAAACGTGCAAAGTGAACTTCAAAAAATTATGATATATCACATTTCAGAAAAAAAGGTTGTTAAAACCAGCATTCTGGTCAATCTCAATCCAAAAGTCCTTTCTTACAGTAATTGTTTGTTTTCCATTCCTGCAAAATCTTTCACTTGGCTAGCATAGCATGGTCCCAGATTCCACTTGGAGCCCACACATTAGTGGAGCATCATGTAGAAGGAAAACACTTGGCTCATATTCACAAAAAGGTGGAAGAAGGGAAGAATCTGATGCTCCCCAGTAACAGGACACTGAATACATGATTAGGCCAGTCTGACACACTATTGGTTAGCACTTGCAAGCAATGCCTTTTCAATGGCAGGACATTACAGGAGCTGGCTACAGACACCTTCCTGGTTGTTTTAACCTTACACCTCTGTCTGGGTTGCAATAATCATTGGTGTGATTCCTCTGACAGAAAGAATCCAGCACAAAACAGGCTTGTTCAATCCTATAATTTTGGTATCTCCAGCTATTTCCCTCCCTGCTGTGCTCACCTTGCAGCGACGCAGAAGAGCTCTAGCTATGCACAGTAACTGTCTCTCTCCAACAGAAAAGTTCTCCCCATTTTCCATCACTTCTGAATCAAGTTTCATAGGCAGCTGTGCAACCTGTGTGGGAAAGAAGAGGCAAAAATCTTAAAGACCACTGCACAAAATCATATAAACACAAACACATCTCCTGACAATCTTTGTCATCAGGAGGAGAGAGTGAACCTAGTCCCTGTAGGGATTCCTGCAGCCAATGTTCCATAGTCATACCTGCCACCTGACTTAAAAGAAAAAGAACTGGAAATGCCATGGCAGCAAGACTTGCTGCAGAGGGCCTTGAAAAGGTTTTAAGTTCAGCATAAATTTGCATATGTGATATGTATAGTCACAAACAGAAATGCAGAATGCACATCGAAGGCACATACAGAAAAATATCACCTGAAATGTTTTAACACCCTAAGAATTCCTGTGATGAAGCAGAACTGCTATGCTATATACAAAAAAACCCCACAGAATATGGCATGTTTCAAAAATACCAAAAATATCAGTCTGATAAAATCGTGGGAAAAAACAAAAAAAAAGGTCAAATAAAGCATAGAGAACAAGAGGGAAAATGCAGAGAAAAAGCTTAGATAAAGACCTCTAAAGTAGCTTCTAACAAATTATGTTGCTTTGGAAGTCACATGCAAACATGCATCTCCCAGGGCACATAATACTTACACACTCCTTCATGTGAGTCCTTTCCAAAGCAGCCCAGATTTGCTCCTCACTGTACTGATTGAAAGGATCCAAGTTCGATCTGGAAGGGGAAGCAAAAAACAAGCAGAATTTTAATTCAGCAATGAATGGAAAACCAGCAGTGTGCTAATTCATCCATACAGGTGATTCCCATCTGGCTTTCCACTAACATCTTCCTTGCCAAGGAAATCAGATGTTCCCAGCACATTGAAGTTAGAAGAGCCATAAAACAAGAGTAGAGATGGAAGACAAAGATACTGAAACTTCAACCACATCTAAAGGGAAGCAAGGCTTACATACAGGATGATTAAACCCAGTGCTGCACAAGGCCAGCTAAAATCATTCATCTGTGTTTTGGTTTTTTTTTGTTTCAAAACCAGAACAGAAGCTAGGATGCCTGAGAGCTACCACCTCACTGGGCACCTATTTCATTTCAGGTATAAGCTGGAAGATTGCTCAGTCCCTTCTTGCCTTCTTATGCTCTCACTAACCTCACAGTGCCACTGAAAAGAACAGGTTCCTGAGGGATTATGGAGAGTTTGCTCCGAAGATCTGCCAAGCCAATATCATTTATTTTCACTCCATCAATTTTAATGCAGCCTCCAGACAGTTCAACAAGACGAAAGAGTGCCATTCCAAGGGAAGATTTCCCTAAAAATGAGACAGGAAAAAGACGACTGGTGTTTCTACAGAATCATAACAGCTTTCAGATGAGAAAGCATTTTAAAATCTGTCCACATGTAAGAAGTTTTTAAATACCAAAAAATCCTGGCAAGCAATGCTCTGCTAAGTTCTGAAGTTCAGCATTTAAACTTCTGAGCAATTGTGGGGGTAGCTCCTAATTTCTCCTCAAAGCAGCCCTCCCTGGAGTGCTGCCCCAACCCCACTGCCAAAACCCTGACACAAAAACCCAATACAACAATAAATCACTTATTTAGAAAGTCATTTTGAGGTTGATTTAAGTCTCAGAAACAGGGGTTTGGATTCTTCAAATTACAGAATTCTGAGATGGCTCAGAGCCAAACCTGGCTGCAGCATCAGTACAGAATCTTTGAAGAGAGTCAGACAAGCTGCAATGAGCACATTGTAGGCACCAATTTGTGCTGGTCAGTGGTTTGGGGAGTTAAATATGATCAACATACTGGTTCAAGCATAGCAGGATATTATCCCTCTGCTTTAAATGGAAACTTGTTTTCACTGCTCTTTACAGGGATCTTGCTTATGTACAGACATGAATGGAAACCTCCACTGACAGAGTGCTCAACCCCTCCTGTGCCATCAACTTACTCAAACACAGACGAGAACCAATATGACTGCCCCAATCTATTCTATGGAAGTAATAATTTAACTCTGCTTAGTGTTTTTTCTTACCTGAGCCTGTCCTCCCCACAATGCCAATCTTTTCCTTCGGTTTGATGGTAAAGGACACTTTTTTAAGTACTAGAGGGAGGTTCTCTCGGTACCGCATCTCTGCATTTTCAAAAACAACTTCACCTTCCTGTGGCCAGTCCAGAGGAGGAGTTTTATTCTTAATTCGAGCAGGAGCTTCTAGAGAAAGTGTCTTTTAACAAAAATACAAAAGTTCAGTTTCCAGTAAACAAAGCACCAAAGGAAAAATTATCAGCTGCAGCTTTCAGCAGTCTTCCCTGCAGACTCAGCCCAGATAATTTATGTCAGTTTCATGATGAGCTGTTTGGCTGGATGTGGGCCCAGTGGTCCAGAAGTTTGCTGTATTACACTGACCACACTGTTAATTCCCCTCCTGTTGCCTCAGTAATGACATCAGTCCTTCTATACAAGAGTAGTTTTCTTCAATGCAATTCCAAATGGATTTTAGGCCTATTATTTATTAGCACAATCCTATTGAGTTTCATGACACTCCCAAAGACTGGATGCAAAATCTGCTGCATTTCTATGCCTCATTTGCTATGCCATGCCAGGGTCACTACTGTTGGTTTTGACACAGAAGAGATTGTCCAAGTAACATAGTAAATACCATCCTTTTCCTTCTCCTCCTCATGTTCCCCTGTACTACTGAATCACTGAGTCTCTTCCAGCCTGCTCACTTTTGCTATTTCACTCTGCCCCTTGTTGGGCAGTTCACAGATTAAACAGAAAAGCAGAACCTCTGAAAGCCAAACAAGGCTTTATAGCATGTTTAGAGTGAAGTCAAGGTCACTTTCCCATATTTGGCACAAGCACCCTCAAAGAATGGCAGCAATCTTGTCATGGGATTCACCTCATGTAACTGAACAAGACCATGACAACTCCTTTATAGTCTCTGCAAAGGGAGATCTCTACAAATGCTATAAAACAGCATTTCTGGAGTGCTGTTTTTCTCATTCTAATATAAATACTTGGAACAGGTAATAAATTGCCCTCTAGAGACACTCATTTCCTACATTGACCATTGAGAGATTCCACAAGGATTTCAGTTGTGGACATCTGCAACATCTAGTTAGAGGCAGATTAATTGTACACCAGGAGTTTGAGAGAAAAAACAGCCCTCTGCTATGATAGTGCTCCAATTCTTTGAGCTTGGTACTCAAAAACAGCAACCTTGAGCCCCCAATGAAAAAAGCCAAGCCTGGGCCTTGGTAAAACACAGGACCTGAATGGTGTTTCACTGGCCACCCACCCTCACTTCAGCTTCAAACTAGTTCTGCAGTTTCATAAATGGCTGTCTAGAGATCAAAATTTTTTAAAAATCACAGATAATATTGCTTAATAGTGATATAGAATGAGAGATATATCTTTCAAAAAGGCCCAAACAACAGCCTACAACTGTAGGTTTTCCCACCAAGGGCTTAACTGTGATAAACCCATCTCAGCCCAGTGAGAGATACTATATTTGGCACAGTTGTCAACTTGTGTGGTCACCAAGTCCTCCATATACAGAAATTCTCTACTTAGATGCCTCCAGAGGATTTATTTAACTGGGGGAGGGGAGAGGTCTGGGGTTTTTTTTTCTTCTGTTTTTCAGCCCATGGATTAAATCCACAGGCTTTAAAAAAAGCTACAAAGATCAACTACTAAATAGCCCAGATTTACCAAATACATATATCTATCTTCCTCTGAGGTTCACAGGGAACATTAAATGGAAAAGCCTTTCACTTCACACAGCAGACCCAGTAGGAGGCTTTCTCCTGGCTACACTTTCCACATTGACCTATGCCCAGCTCTGCACACACAAATCCCAGTTACAAAGAAAGGGTAACAGATAATCAGAGTAGCTTGCTAAGCACTTAGCCTGGCACATTTATCATGTTCAGCTGAGCACATTTCTCATGTTTACAGTAAGAGCATTCCCTTGACTTTTCAAGCATATAGAAATATGTTATGTAAGGCAGCTGTAGAAAAGCACACTTATTAGGATGAAGTGGAATTACTTGCAGATAAAGTAACAGTTATCTGTGCTTAAATGAAGGAATTCCATTAGGTTTGAAATGAAGGATGCCAGAACACCATCCTTTTGCTGTAAAATAATGTGTTGAATCCCCAAGTTACTCCTTTCACACTCTCCATTCTTTACTGTCAGCAATGCCTCTAGGTTTAATTATCTACCAGCTCTGGGGCCATTCAGTCCCCTTGTGCTGATACATGTACTTCACAAAACAAACTCACTCTGCAGTATTACAGCACAGGCTTTAGTGCCTTTCCAAGATCAGGAACATATATTCTGTACTAAGGCAGACTATGGCTGAGGCCAGCAACATAACAAGCAACACAAAATTTCACAACAGGCAGTTGAATGCATTACAGTCCTACCTTGATATAGTGATCAATCCTCTCCACTGAGGTGAAACGAGCTTCTGTCTCTGAAGCCAGCCTGACTGTAAACTGGAATAACCCTGTTAACTGAAGGGGTGAAAAAAATTTTTAGAGCAGTGACTGGTTATTGAATTAAGAGATTAATGTGGCCAGCAGGATCAGGGCAGTGACTGTACTCAGGACTGGTGAGGTCACACCTCAAACCCTGTATTTAGTTTTGGGCCCATCACTACAACAGAGATATTGAGGTGCTGGAGCATGTCCAGGGAAGGGCAACAGAGCTGAGGAAGGGTCTGGAGTCCTGTGAGTAGCAGCTGAGGGACGTGGGGGAACTCAGCCAGGACAAGAGGAGGCTCAGAGGAATCCTATCGTTCTCTACAACTCCCTGAAAGGAGGGTGTAGCCATCTGGGGTTTGTTCTCTTCTCCCACTTAACAAGTAATAGGACAAGAGGAAACAACTTCAAGTTGTGCCAGAGGAGCTTTAGATTGGATGGTAGGAACATTTCTTGCCAAGCAGTGAAACAGGCTGCCCAGGGGAGTGGGGGAGTCGCCATCCCTGGAGATATTTAAAAAGTCGTGTAGATGTGGCACTTGGGGACATGGTTTAGTGGTGGGTTTGGCATTGCTGAGGTAATAGCTGGACTCAATGACCTTACTGGTGTTTCCAACCTAAAGAATTCTATGATATTTGATACTCTTGACATTGGGCATCATACAACTAAAGTGTTCAAAGCAAGTTAATTAAATAGTTCATTTTAAAATCACCATATCTCATGAATCCCTTGAGAAACCGGCAGCTTTAGAAACGTTTCCCAAGAGCAATGGCTTTAAGTATGAGGTGTCTAAGCGCTTTAATTTCACCTCGGCGCCACAAGGAGGCAGAAGAGGCCAAACAGCAGCCAAAGACGAGCGCTCAGAACCCTGCAATTCCTCTGAGCCAGCGCTGGATGCTGTTTGCTCAAAATTATGGTATTAGCAGTATCATAAATATCATCTACATAAAAAAGATATCATCTACATGAAAAGAGAAATTAAGTATTACAGTATGTGGTCACACTCACCTGCACAGCGTATGAGATGGCCAGCCCAGCATAGGCAGGAGGGATCTGGCCATGCATCAGGACAATCATAAGGCCAGTGGTTGTGATCAGAGCAATGCTGATAATGTCCAGACGCACAGCTAGCCAGCGCATTGCGCAGCTGAACAGGTAAAACGGGGCCTGGTTGTTGTCCAGCAGCTCCTGGTACCTGAAACAAACACAGCAAAGTTCTACAAACATCAGACCTACTTAAACCCCTGTTTCAGTATCAGAATTCAGGGTGGGAAGACTCACCACTGACCAAGTTTCAAACCAAAACATGATGGCTGGGTTTGAACTTCCCTCACCAATGATCTTCCTACTTTTCCCTTACCCTTCCTTCTGCTCTCCCAATTGTTTTTCCCAGAAAAGCAACTTTCAGTCAAAGAACCAATGATCCATCAGACCCCAGTAATAAATCCTTCTGAATCCCAGAAGCTGCTGCATTCAGCTTTGTGCTCCACCATTCCCAGATAGGTATCTAGACTGACCTGTGCAGAAATTCCTGTCCTTTGTGGTAGGCATGGATTGTGGAAAGACCCTGGATGCTAGATGTAATGTGAGACAAGAATGGAGACTGTGTGATGTTGTCCAAACGCTTGAGCTCTCGAATAAAGACTCTGCAAGGAAAGAAGCACTTTGAGTTTCATGCAGAACCACCATATGCCAACCACTATGCTGTACTTGAAGGTGAAAGTATCTGTACTTTTACTCAAAGCAGCTGGTGCACTTACCTAGACACAACATGCAGAACTGTGAACAGGACAATGAGGGGACCCACTGCCACCAGGAACCAGGGGAACACCCCCGAAATCACCCCCACACAGAAGAACACAAGAATGACGTTCTGGATGAACATTTCTGCTTGAAACGGCAAACGAACGTCAACTGGTGAAATGGAAGGAAAAGAGGAAGATCTTGAGTACAGAAAACCAAAACACCCTATAGAAATCAACTTAGTAGAGCTGTACATCAGTAACAAAGATAGTGATTTCTCTTACTTTATTCAAATTAAAAATGTACATTTTCATTGGGATGTTTTTACCTTCTGAGTTGCTGGCCATCTAATTACTCCCACTTACAGAAATAGCATTGATGGAACCCTGACCTAATTACCACCTCTGCTGCACATCAGCTTCACTCTAATGCTTTAAGTTGCTCCTGCATTAACTGCTGAGAGCCCATGTGCAGCCTGGAGGTACAACAGCAGCAGCACATTTCCTCCTTCATAAGTGAATGATCAGACCTGAGCTACCAGCTGCCTTCTAGAATCATAACCCAGCTATATCCCAATTCCTGCTTTGTTTTTTGCAAGTGCACTTTTGGCAACAGACATAGGGTACAATCATCCCAACAGCAACAAACTGGAGAGTATTCAGGAGTTCCCTGGGAGGTCTGAATATGGGTTTTACAGGGCACACAGTGAGAGGTACCTTCATCCATGTCTTTGGAAAACCTGTTGAGGATCCTCCCAGTGGGGGTAGTGTCAAAGAACTTCATGGGACTACGCAGAATCCGTCGGAAGAGCTCGTCATGGAGCCTTGAGGATGCTCTGAGAGTTCCCTGATAATGCAGAAAACATTGCAGGGTTATAAAGCAGTTATATTCTTGCCACTGCTTCTCCTCTGGCACCCAAATATTCTACTTCATTTCTCTCTCCAGCCATAAGAGATTTTTTACTGCATTCTGTGCTTCCAACCAGTGGAGGAAGCTCTTAATTTGGGCAGAAGCTTAGCAGAAACATGGTGCAGCCTCAAGAGCTGGCTATGGAAACATTACATAACATGATTGACTCTGGTTCAAAAGTTTCTCTTGGGAGATGACCAAGAAAACCACAGTGACAGCAATGTGCAGAAGTAGGAGGAGGGAGAGACAAATGCCAGCACTGGCACATACCTTTACAAAGACCACACCACGAACAGCTTTCAGAATCAACATAACCGCCATAGACAGTGCATAGATGCCAGCATAGTAATGCATGCGAGGGTTATCTTTCATGCTGTTGCTTATGACAGTCTCATTTCCCAAAGTCACAGAGGTGTTCTGCAGAAAATTCAAGGTTTCAGAGGTTGGTTAAGACAAGAATGAAGCATGTATGCATTACATGTGGTAGAATTTAACTGCCTTGTGTCTTCTCTCATTATATCTGATATTTGGTATGTCATTTGAACTCAAAGCCATATTTTAACATAAATTATCCTGTTAGGTATAATAATCACATTTAAACAAAAAACAACACTAAAATTAGCTTGTTGGCCCCTTTCATATTTTCACTTCCTTTTCTTAGACTAATCAAGAAACAGAACAAGAGGGCAGCGTTAAACCATACACATTATTATCTTTCCTATTACTGAATCTCTCTTATTTTTGGAGACAAACTCCCTAGTGAGACCACCTCCTGGGGAGCCTTACAACTTATTTAAATTAGGAAGCACCATTTGGTCTCACAAGACTGCTTAAGATTTGTCTAGCAGAGCAAACCCCCAGCCCACTAGACACAAGAGTAGAAAAACTATTTAACTTACTCCACTGCCTTGCTTGATCCAGAAACTCAGCCACCAGTTGCTAAAAGCTGTGCTGCCCACATTCAGCACAAACAATGCCATGATGATGAGGAATGCAAAGGGGCCTCCAGCTGCCTGAATGTAGACACCATAAACAGACCAGGGAACAGAGCCTTTGCCTTTCTCCTCCAACTGGACCAACTGACCTGTGAAAGAACAGAGTATTAAAAGGGAGTAAAGAAAAGAAAGCTCTTCCATTAAACTCCTATAAATATGTGAACACACAAAATTAGTCTTTCAAACTGTGCAGAGTACTTTCAGAAACACACACCTTACTTCATGCTTAGAACTCAGTGGTTCAAACAGTTTTTCAAAAAGTCACATTTCTCCTGCAGAATCATTTAAGTCCTGGTACAACTGAAAAAGCCTTATCAGCACGAACTTAAATGTTAGGCTAGGATCAGCCTCACTATTGCTTTTGAAACCATGAAGTTCAAAGGTAACATGAAACAGAACTGCAGAGGTCATCTCTTCCCTTCATCCATAAATGCCATGTCCTGCCCAGTGCCAAGTGTGTACACATTGCCCTCCTAGGACAGGAGGGAGGTGGTGTGGGAGACAAGGCAGTACCAGCTCCTTTGTGCTGATGGCATCTGACCAACAGGAGCCTGATTGAACTTAAAAACATTGTACAGGTGTCTATATTTAATGAATTAATGAATGTTCTTTGCCCACTGCCTGTGTCCTATCAACCACGCTAAGTGATTAGGATTGAGACAGCTTCCAAAACCTGAGAGGTACATTAACAATATACTTTGAAGTATATAATGTTTTGAGCTTATTGAAGTACAAAATAATGACAGCCAGAAATTTGATTACATAGTTACCCTCCTCTTCCTTCTTTACAACTTTCTCCTTCTTCACAGACCCTGTTTTGGTACTTTTATCTTGGGGCCTTTTCAGTGAATTGTTTGTGTTCTTCTTGATATTAATCTGCAGGAAAACAGTGACACTAAACATACTGGGAGTAATTGGCTTTGACATTTTCATATGTAAATACAAACTTTTATTAATCTGCCTCTTAAGGACAAAAGTTTTCAATAGCTCAGCATTCAAGTCACAGAGGATATTAACTTCACAGTTATTATAGATGATTGCCAACTCTGGTGGATTAAACTCTCCTCCTCTACTACTTTGAACTATTACCAACCTATACAGGCAGAGTACAAGGTTAATTTCCAGAATCAGTGAAATTATGAGTGTACATGGTAGAGGAATGATATCCATACTATTGCAAGAAAGATGTAATCTCCCTATCCCTTCTAAAAATAACTCACCATTTTTTAAAGAGGCTTTTTTTCCCCAAGCACTCTAGCACTTACAGAAATTTCATTAGAGCTTTCTTATGAAAAGTCAGGTTAACTTCATCTTCCAGAAATCCAATATCCAAACACTAAAGTGCACACACAAGCACTGTTCTAAACCCAGCCATCTTCCCATAACTGGGAGTTACTGCATGTTCAGAGTCAGCCTACATGGACTGAAACCCCTTACACACCATGTTCAGGGCTGCCTTCCCACACTTTACGAGATCAAACCACAGAGAATCCAACTGATCATCCATTTATTCTTATCCTATAGGGAATGCAATTTAATGGTCCCTTCCATGAGCTAATGTCTACAGAGACACTGAAGGTCAGCCAAGCATGAGGACTGGAGAATCTCTTGTTCGCTATCATTATATTAGTCTTAAAATGGCAGAACTATCATCTTCATGCCTCAAAGGATGTGCAGAGGAATGCATTATATTCCTTTTGCTTCTTTCACAAACATCTCCCAGGAGAATGTGTCACCAAGCTGCTTCAATATACTGATATATTCTTACAATGCTTCCATCTCAGAAATGTTTTAAATGTCTTGTGAGTAAGGAGCCTCTCATCTCTTAAAAACTAAACTGCTCAGCTACTTCTAATCTTTTCTAAGAGGAAATACAGACAGAATTTAGACAAGTAAGTTATTATAAAACAAAACACAAGGATCCTTATTCCAGAGATTATCTTCAGGAAAGAAAGCAGAAGGGTAGGAAAAATTAAATTGCTGAAAATTTAGATGTTGTTGTACTGAATGGCTCTTGTTATTTTCTAGATTTACAATTTTTGCACCAACTGAAATGCTAGAGCACATATTCAAGTTTGCATTTACAGTCTTTTTTTAATAACAGAATTACTGCCAAGGCAAAAACTTTTTTTTCATAAATTCCCCCAAAACACACATTTCAGTTACACTTCCAAAATACTGTTCCATCTAAATTTTGATAAGTTGTCACATCTGCTGTGCCTCAGTCACACTCCACTGAAAAAGTAGTAACAAGCCAGTAATTTTTTCAGACAAAGGTTGTTGAAGATCTGTGCTAATTCAGAGGTAAATTAAGCTGTGGAGTGTACAATAAGAGAGACAAACCTCCTGCTCTGATCATCACCACGGGAGACACTACAATATTTTCATTATTAACTCACAAGCTGATTAGCAGAGTCCTCTCTAGCACACATTCCCTAAAAGCAAACTGTGACAAAGTGCTAATGAAGCACAGATTCTTCCATAGGAAATCTACTGGTCAGATCAACACATGAAAACACGTGAAGCCATTTTCCAGGTTTCCAACAGCATCAATTGGTTCACCTCAGAATAGCCAAGATTCGGAGCACTTAAAAATAAACAAGTACCTCAATATGTGGTGTTTCTCCCAGCTGTAGGCTATTAAAAATAGTTGCATAATCCCCATTTAAATTCATCAGTTCCTCGTGACTGCCTCGCTCAGTAATGCAGCCTTCTTTCATGAAGATCACTTCATCACAGTCAACAAGATACTGGAGAAAGTGGCAGTAAGAACAAGTCTCTATCACGATGTTCAATAACCAAACACTCCCACACAACCCTTCTCAGCAGCTTGTAGACACTGGTACACAGCACACCTATTCCCACATAACAGACAGCTGATTTTCAGAGGTCCTCCTCAGACCAGAGCACCATGATTACTCACACTGTACAAATAAAATGTTTTTGTGTCCTATCAAAACCAATCTCTTCTGGAAGACGTGACTCAGGATACTTTAACACTGCAAATACTGATAGACTAAACACTAATATTTCTATGTACTGAAGACAGCAAAAAAATCTCAGGTACATCAATTCTGATTGACTGACACCAAATATAACTGTTTTCTGCTGCGAAGAAATAGCTTTACAGTAAGTTAACAAAAATATTTTTGAACAAGGTATTTAGTTCTCTGGTAAGTTTTCATTAGACAAATGTTACCAGTCCCAATCAGACACCAAGCAACACTGGTATAAAATAATCGAATTGTGTTCAGTGCATATTTTCAAACCTAGTTTATAAATGTAAACAAGACATTCTATAGACAGACAGGGTTGTCCTGTCACAGGTCAGGGCACAGAAATTTCCAGTATGAAGGCAACCAATTAACAAACCATTTCAAGAAGGTCCAAGAAAGTATGGGAGATTCAGTACCTGAAGCTGATGCGTGATGAAAAGGACAGTCTTTGACTTCAGGTGCTTCCTTATTGCACTGTTAAAAATGTGATTTCCAACATGAGCATCTAAGGCACTAAGGGGGTCATCAAGGATGTAAATGTCCCTGTCACTGTAGAGGGCTCGAGCCAGACTGATTCTCTGACGCTGTCCCCCACTCAGGTTAGCCCCTCGTTCACCAATCTGCACAGAGACACACACCCATTATTTTATTTCTTCAGCACCGTGCAACATAGATTACCATAGAATAAAGTAGACCATAATATTAATTTTTTTATAAATATACTCCCCCATAACATCTTATATTAATACACATACATATTCAAGTTTAAGTGTTTACTTTGTGACATGTGTTATACATTCAAACTCAAGGTTAATATGCTTGAAATCTGGCAGTACTTTCTCTGCTTATTTTACCTTTTATGAATTAACATAGTCATTGTTTTTCTTAGCTATTTTAAATCAAGTTCAATTAGGACCTGTTAAGGCTGCTAAATTTACAACACAAAAAAATTCCCCAACAGTCAACATCTGAGTGAAAAACAGGGTACAACTCTTAATAGTCTAGGGCCCATTAAGCTCAGTTCAAGAGAGTGCATTCAACAGCTTGGCTCATATGCAGCCCAGACTGATGTACCCTCAACTCCAGTTTACCCTGCCAAACCAAAACTCTTTTCTCCATCTATTAATTAGTTTAGTTCAAGCAAAACATACCTCTGTCAGGTCCCCATTTGGAAGGATGGCCAGGTCAGGCCTTAGACAGCAACCATTCAGCACAGTATTGTATCTAAAGAACAATTAGATAAATAGTTAAGAACACTAATTTTCCCCACAATTATTTAGCTAGTACAGCATATATCATCATTTTCTACACTAACAGCAGATATTCCAGCAGCCTAAAACAAATCATCTGCCTTGAATTCTCAGGAGAAAACTGAGGGTAATAATTAATCACCTACTTCAGAAGCATTGTGAGGATAGAGACAATTTGTTTTCAGGGATAGTTGGCTAAGGGCCACAGAAAAGTCCCCCAGTGGAGGGGGGCCATGGAAGATGTCAGTACAGCAGATGTTGTGTTTGAAGAGGGCAAGGCCAGGACAGCAAGAGCAAATACCACTTTAGTGCTGCTCACAGTAGCTGCTGGTTTTAACCAGAGGTCCACAGGGTGAGGCCCAGCCTCACTGCAAGGAGCAGTGACAGACACAATGACAGCCACCAGCCACAGGGCCACATGCTAGAGAGGCATGATCCTAAATGGGACTTAGAGGAGACTTAGAGACAGACTCCAGAAGGACATAGATGCTTTATCTGCAGTGAACTCTGCATTAAATTTTTCCAAAGCTTGGGCCAATAATTACTAAGCTTACATGAAAATCAGCAAGCAGACTGACAAACCTTTCTTCATCATATTCCTTGCCAAAAAGGATGTTGTCCCGGAGAGTGGCATTGAGAATCCAGGCCTGCTGGGCCACGTACGCAAACATCCCGCTTACTGCAATGCTCCCCTCCAACAGGGTCATCTGGAATTACACACCAGCTGTGAGATTATCCTACCCCATGTTTACAGTAGACTTCATTCTACAGAATACAAAAAAGCGAAATAGGAGATGGGAAAGAGAAAAGCAGAAGTACTAAAAACAGGATTTCTCACCTGCCCTAAAATTGCTGAGATAAGTGAAGTTTTTCCACTCCCCACACTGCCACAAATTCCAACAAGTTTTCCCTGCACAGAAAGGAAATAATTATGGTACTCATTTCTTACATTCTTCACCCCTTTCAGAATTCAGACTACCTTTAGTATCTCTGAAAGGACAGTTGGATATGAATGACAGCTCTAAAATGACATAAGACAAAAAAAAAACCAAGATTCAGCATTTTAATGCTCAAATTGTATAGAGTGAATACAATCTCACAGTGAAATATAACTGAAATCAATTCTACAGGTAAAAATAAAGGTATTTGAAGATCAGCTTCCTTCTTACAAGGGATACAGGCCAGGAGGATCAAGAAACCAAAAGCGCCAAGGCCTGGCTGAACAGAATGCATCAAGATGCTTTTGAGAGTAGTAAGGAAAGATATAGAGGAAAAGTCTGAAAGAAAAGAGAATTTAGCACATATGGGTCCAGTAAAACCCCTTGCCACTTAGATCCAATTTTCTAAAGAACATGTACCAAGAAAATACTAGAATTGAGTCATTTTGAATAATTTTTCTGCAAGAGAATGGGTGGATTAATACCCACATTAAGCAATTAATTTATCAAAACTATTTTTATTCCTTTTGTAAAAAATGTAAAGTGAACAAAAAAGGCATATAGACACTTGTGGGACAACACATTGCTGGCCTTATCTTGATAGCACACTTGAGACAAAACCAGCCTTTACATTTGCAAGTAATCATACTCCTTTTTGAGGCAATTTTTAAAGCCATATGCTTTCTCCCCCAGAGTTTAAAATATAGGTATTTTTACTGTTTAAAATAGTTTAAACTCTCCCTCTATTTTCAGAACTACATAAGACAATTTAAGTATTAATATCTTCATAAATAAATGGATCTCATTATTTCAACATCCAAATGCCAAACTGCAAAGCTCTTGTATTTGCAGATAATGTCATCTATTAAGTTCAATGCTTTTTCTTTGACATCTTACATGTTTTTACCCATCTTGGAGCAATAGCTCCAAATGCTTCTACAATTCTTTAAAACCTGCATCCTACTGTACAAAAAATCTCAAGGAAGAAAATTGCACATTTTTCAATGAAAAGCACTGTTATACTCCATTGGAACACCTAATCACCTAAAATGTTCACCCAGGATACAGCTGAAACTCTGCAAAATTATCAAACCACTGCAGGAACACACTGTTCACCTGGTAGCTGGTGCCCTGCAGATTCTCTGAGCTCAGTGGCTCACACACTGTCCTAGGAGCTGCAAACCCCTCAGCTGGATGTGAAAGCTATAGAGCCTGCCCTTGTTTCACAGGCTATTTGCAAATATCTAGCTGCTAAAATGGCACAGCTGTTTACAGCAAGATCAGACACTGCATCCTGGATACTGCAGTTGCCATGGATATTACAGGAGTGAACAAAAGCAATATGCTCCATTTCATACAAAATGAAACAGCGCACAGCTCTCTGTTCCAAGGAGCAGCTAAAATGAGGCCTTTTAAAAGGTCAGATTTCCTCCTTTTACTTCTTACCTTTTCTATCTCCAAGTCAATGTTGTACAGAGTCCTCTGAAGCCGAAGGTTAACCAGGTGGATGATTTTGTGCTCCTCTTCGGGGCTGTGATGGTCATCACTGTCCACTAGAAGATGGCCCCTCTGTTCTGCCAGCACAGCTTGCTGTCCCTCATTCTGTAGCTTCATTTTCTCTTTCTTGCTCTTGGTGACTTTCTTGTCTTTTTTCACTTTGGGGGTCAACTTTGGTGAGCTCTGGACGCTGGCGTGGGAGAAGTCCCAAGCCAAGGTAGCATTTTTCACCTCTATCGCGGTGTGAGGATTGGCTGGTTTTTTCTTTATCATATGAACCTCTTCCATTAGAAATAAACTCTGATAGGAGTTGTGAGAGAGGTGTAAAGATGAGACACCTGATCAAGACTGGGAGACAAGCCTACGGCACACTCACGCAGCAAAACACATCAGGCTATATAGTAGGAGGAAGCTGAAGAGCAAAAGGTAGCTCATTAGTGTAAACTAACTCCAGGTCTGCTAAGTGGCTGGGGCATTCCTGGATGTGGTGGAAGCACTTGGATACACTCGACTTTCACAGAAGTGCAATACTCTGGATGTGACACGACAGGGGCTTCTTCCTTTGACACTGTTTGCAACTGCAGCTCTGTATGTTCCAGATTGAAAACACATGAGCAGAACACACAGGTTGGAGAAGTCACTTGAGACAGAGTGACTGACTTGTCCTGCACACCAACTCATTATGGAAGGAGACAGAATGGCTTTTGGCTTGAGCCTCTACCCATCAACTTTTCTGCTATGAAAAAGCCATCTTGCACAAATGTAGCTGATCTATCTAAGGCTGCTTGGCAATAAGAAGTAAGCCATTAAGTCAACTGTATCATGTTTTCCACCATATCCATCAGTATTTACAATCAACAGATTAGGAAGACATTTTTCACACAATTTAATTACAAGATAAAATGTTTGCCACTTACACAATTTGTTTTGAACCAAGTAGTCTTTTGTGACTAAAAATTCACAATTCCCAGCCTTATTTATTCTTACAATTGCTATGTCTGAAGCACACATTCATAAGAAAGCTCATACTCATTTATAGAGCCAAAAAGTCAATAAAATTTTTACTGTGATGTAAGAGTATGCCCACCTTACATTATACTTCCTACACAATTTATAGCCAAACTGGGAGATAATTCAATTTCCTTTTCCTTCTCTTCCCCCACAGAAATTTCCCTTTAGTGCACTTGGATCTAAGCAAGACTGATTTTAGGCTGACTCAGAAGATGAAGCAAAATTGCTCAGAAGTAATGGAATCTCAAAAACACTCTACAGATCCTGTTTTTCTCACACAGAAGTTTGTTTCATGAATGCATTTCACAGAATCCATGTATCAGTCAATGCTTGTCAAAGTTTCTATTTGGAAAGTGCTATTTTCCAGTTTGGAAATTTCCACAACGTGTAATACACTGTTATCTTCAAGAGACAAGACAAAGTACAGGTCTCCCCTCTGAGTTCATAAAGTACACACAGTGTATTCATCCTCCAATCCCCATGTTGTGAGATAAGATTGTTCATTATCAGGGTTTTACATTTTCTGCCATAGATCTCTTTTGCCAGATCACAGCTCCATTTTACTGATACAGGGGAATTTCAGTCACTTAATCTGGTCTGGAAATATAAAACCTCATGGTTCTGTGACCATAGATAAAACTCCACTGTTTTTTGTCAAACTGCTTACCTAACACCTGATATTCTCAAAAGGTTTTATTAGCAAAGCATAAGATTTCTTGTACACATGTTGCAGTCTTTTCATACAGACATTCTTAAAATGGAGTTAAAAATTATTATACAGTGAGCCACTGAGTCCTTCACTCTTATCTCTTCCTGTGGCCAACTTCAAAATCATAAAATCATTGAATCAGACTATTTTGCTTCTCACACTGGTATTTTATTCTTAAATTGCCAATATTCCTTCACTGTATTTGTATCTCTTGCAGAATCAAATAATCTGGAATGTTAAGTGTAAAGAAAAATGACTTCTCTGCCATTAAAATCATATTACCTTCCAAGCATTCCCTTTGCATCTACTGAACACATACAACACTCCACACTTACAGTGAAAACTGTGAGGCCAAATGACTGCTTACCTTAAATCTGTCAACAGAAACAGATGCCTCAGACAGAGACTTCACTGAGAATGGAGTTACTTTGAGAGCAAAAGTCATTGAGTTAAAGACAGTGACCACTGTGAATGCCTAAAAACAAGACAAGAAAAATAATCACATTGGATGCAATATTCTAACAGCTCCAGCCTTCTAAAAGCTCAGATAGCACAGTAACAAGTTAAAACCATACAAAAGGCCCAGTCCAAGAGCAACCATCCAGCTCCTTCCCTAGTGCTTTCAACAGACCAAGACAGACCTGTTCTGTTTGTAGGTCTAACAAATGCAGCCGCCAGCAAATTCTGCATTAACCTACTAGTGAAGGCACAAAATCAAATCCTATTTTTAGACATTTGTGCTTTTTGCATCCAAGCACACTGCAAAACAAAAACATCCAGTAATCCCCAATGCCCCATCCAAACAGCAAACAGGAAGACTCATTTACATTCAGCCCAAAACCTGTTCTGAGGAAGGTCAGGACAAAAGAGCACCAAGAGCCTTTTGTGCAAAATAGAAGACTACACCTGCTGCTGTCACAGCCATGAGATGTTCACTTATGTGAGTGAGGATGCAGCCTGGCCACATGGGCACAGCCACATGAGAAATGGCTCAGCAGAACAGCTACAGAAGCAAAAGCATAAAGAATGTTTCCAACAGTTTACCTGAGCTGCTGTAAGGTCATAGCCAAGGATCATATGGACAGAAAAGGTCACCACACTGGCAATGACAACAACGATGGGAGCCACTCCCACAGTGATGCTCTGGAAGTAGCCTGCACGCTCCAAGATTTTGCGTTCCTCCTCACGAATTTCTGGAAATACAAATAGGGGCACCACATTTGAACTGTGATTCAAGGGTTACATACACACAACAGACAGTACCATAGCACTATAAACACTAAGAGACCCAAGTCTACACTTCAGTGTTTATCAGATTATAAACCCTCTCAAAGAAAGCAATTACAGAGGAGGAAACAATAATGGTCTGTAATCACCACACGAATATAGGGATTTTTGAATTTTTTTCAAAATAGGGCAGCCAACACATTTATTAAATAATAAAAGCGGAACAAAATTGAAAATTTAAGATTAGTATCATGCCATAAACATTACACAAGAAGGTGAAATTTCAGAAGCTGGTCTGTTTGTCCAACCCGTTGTGCTTAACACAGAGGAACCTGAAGGATGACAGTGTTCTTACACTGCTCGTACAGCAGCACCTACAGCACTAAGTCAGGATGCACCAGGCTACAAAGCAATGGGACATCTGCATCAAAGGAGACATTTGCAGATTGTGGGAACTCACTTTGAACATTCTGAGAAAATGGTTTGACCCAGGCATACATTTTAATGAATTTAATGTAATTAAGAACTTCATTCATCTTTTGCACACGTTCATCTGTTGTTGCTACGCATTTTCTTCTGAAATAAGCTGTGAGGCGTGACACAAACATCTGAAACAAAAGACAACACCATGAAACAATAACGGCAACTAAGAAAAAGCAAGTACATTCAATTCTTAATTACCAGAGAAAATGAATTTTTAATCTGAAAATGGGATTCAGGGATAGGGCCAGGTCAGACTGCTGCTCTAACGTAAAGCTCAGGCTGGAAACACCATTCATTTCCTCCTGCCCCATCTGCACCAAGCACTAGACCCAGGAGAGCAAATTCCAACAAAAATTTGAGAGAATAAAGGGGTGCACTTTTACCAATATTGAATAGCACCAATTCAGTTAGTTTCTGAAGCATAAAGTTAACCTAAAGACACACAAAGCTGATCCCCACTTTAGCCAGCCTTTTAACCTGATTCTGTAAGGCAAATCAGGACTTCGCCCAGCCAGATCAATTTCTAGTCTATGCCAGTGCTATGAAGGTAATAAAACAGTTTTTAACATTTTTACTAAACTAGTCTAAAAACAGAAAGTTGTTTGACATGTTCTAAAGTACTTGCTGCTCCTACATTCATCGCATTCCTGGTCTGAAATTCAAACCCAACACTACTTGAGGAAGTTTTAGCTCCTTGCTTTTCTTCATACACCTGCAAACTCTTTTGAAATCCCCCATCAATAAAGGAGGACTGGTGGAAAGAACTGAAAAACATGTTCAAACTCTGCTCCTTATTCCTCTCTAAAATGCAATTCTGGCCAGATAAATTGGACCACAGTGAACCTCAAAGTATTCAGCCTCTAGGTTTTATACAACATGTATTATGAATACAGTGACAAATCTTCAGCAGTCTTATAGGCAAGAAGATCGTGGCTTGAACTAGCCTATTTCACAGCTCAGCAGAAGTACCTCATCAAGAACAAGCTGTACCAGATGTAGTGTTTTTCAACATGTTGTGTTGAGTCAAGAAATCAAGTACACTGCTTATGCAAGACTGAGCTCCCATACACAAGCTGGAGGCCTCATGTCTTTCCAGCCTCAACCATGAACACCTGAATATTCTGCAGTTTCATTTAGCTATGAATATTAGTCTCAGCCAAATCTATCAGCTTTCCTATCTCCATTTACTAATTTTATCACTTTGAGCTTCCTGTTTCCAAATTTCAGCTTCCTGCACTGTAATAACTTTAATAATGTGCAATGCCATAAACTGACTAAATCTAGCCCATTTCAACACCTTTTATTCAGAACTATACATTTGTCTGACCTAAGAAAAATAAAGTAAGTCTTAACTCTTTCCAACTCACCATTGCTGGGTAGAAGAGGATGAAGACAGCAGATCCCAAGAAGCCTGTTGGACCCAGAATGATCACATTGTAAACCATTCCCAAGATAGCCACAATAGGGCCCCCAGCCAACAAACTGCCAACTGCTGCAGCTTCAAACATCCTCTGACCATCATTGGAACAAACATTTATGAGCTGAAAAACAGACAGAACAGATTATTTAGATTTAAGGCACAGCTCATTCTCAAAGGAATACATTACACATCCCTTTTCACACTGCCATTTCCAAAACACGGCTGCCGCTTACCTCTCCAAGAGACTTCTCCTTGATGTTCTTCAGCTTAAGGATTTTCTTAAATGCCATTGTCAGGACAGCCCCACGCAGTCTGACCCCCGTGCGATAATTCAATGCCCAGGTTAGTGCCAGGGACCACGATCGCACCACTTCCGTCATAAAGATGCCAAAAACTAAAAACAAGCTGTACTGCAGGTTGGACTCACTCTGCTGGGTATACTCCAAGAGGTGTTTCACAACGAATGCCTACAGGAAGAAATGCAAGCGTGCATGAACACCCCATCATCCCAGAAGATCATACAACAACTTTATGTTAAGTTAGAAATAAGTAGGCTACTTTGCTTTTAAAAGAGCCATTTGAAATAGAAAGCATCTTCTTTCCAGAAGTAAAAGGTGTCAATACAAGAAGTACTGTAACACAAGCCCTGCTGAAGAGCCAAGCACTGAGTCAAATTTAGTAAGTAAAGAGTTTAATTTGGAACCATATTCCTCGCAGCACGCTTCTAATCCTCCGTGTCTTCTAACTTAACATAAATGTGTCAGTTAGCTGAAAGCAATGCATTATCATATAGAAGAGTTTTAAAATATAGTCACTACTTATACATCTGCACACATTAAGAAACATTCCTTTACGTGACATTAAGACCTTTTTTATTTTATCTTTGGTTTGCTTCAAACGTGCTTATTTGATAAAAAGGAACAATGTACCTACAGTTGTAGAGGGGAAGAGTGAGAAGGACATTTGCAAAACATTCCTGGAAATAAACATCAGCAGTTTAATAGTAAAGAAAAAAACAAGCAGAAAGCACAAGGTACGCAATACCACAAATCATTGGGGATGGGGAAGAAGAAAAAAAAAAAAGAAAAAGAAAAAAAATTAACCATTCAATCCCTCCCCATACCCTCTTCCCCCAAGAACATAAACACTTTACCTCAGGAATCACATTTCAAACATCACCTGCAAAAAGAGGACAGCCCCCAGAACACCAATTCCCAACTCCAGCTCTTTGTGGTCCAATGGCACAATATAACATCATACAATTCACAACCACCAGCATTAAATATTAACTGCGAAACAATAGGCTTTTATTTGAAATGAAGTGTCATCTTAAATGGTAACATCTCAAAAACACTATACAATACATTGCATAAACATACAATCTGCATATACAGGATAATTATAAAGGGCTAATATCTAACAGTCAGTCTTAGCTTCTAACAAATTAGATTTGAATCTACACACAAAATTATAAAGATACAAAAACAGAATGGTATTTGTACACGAAGTCCAAAAGAAGTCAAACTTGAAGGTACCAACAGAGGAGGCTCCTGAGGCTGCACAAATTCTGAAATCTGATTTCAAAAGTATCCTACAGTAAGGCTTCACAGACAGCAAAAGACTTCCTAGAGAGCTTTTCAACAAATGATGTTTTAAGATACTGGTGCTTTTGATATACTAGTACAGAGTAGAGAATTACCTTTGCCCACAAGAAAAATCAACAAAAAATCTGAGACCAAAGGAAATATTTGAGAAGCCGTTCACACAGTCCGTTGAAGTCCTCTTGGCTAAATCATGTTTTGCAAGTAGGAGTTCTATATAGTTTGAAGAGAGAGGGAAAAAAAACCAAAACCCACTACTCCAGCAAAGGTTTTGAGAGCTACAGCCCAGCACCAAATTAAAAAAAAAAAAGTGGAGATCAAATTCATCTGTTCGGAGGAAAATAATCCTGCACATCAGAACCGAGGAAACATGCTGTAAATAATTTTGCTCTTTTTCACAGGTGTGAATTAAAGCCAGATGTCCATCAGGTTCTAGAATGGCCACTGAGAAAATTTACATACCGATCACTGAACAAATGTGAGGAGCTCACATTCACAGATCTATTGCATTCCAACTTTCTCCTGATTGGATTTAATTTTACATCGACTGTTTGGATCACAACTGCATACAGTTGGTTTGCAGTTACTGTGGAGATTACTGACTTCTTTTTCCAGTATTCAATCCAACATATGCAACCGAGTCACTGAGCAATTGGGGTGAAAATTCCCCTTTTCCCTCACGAGCTGTAACTCAGCATGGTCGCAGACTGCAAGCATTTTCTCACACACCACAGCATTGCTGAAAGTCTCCAAGAGAGGATGTATAAAGATAGCAGATGTTTCCTGGGGTCTCATTCCTCCCAAAACTTTAGTGCAATTTTGCAGCACTATTTTATAGATTCAGCATCTCCCATGATGAAATAGAGACCAGCTTACATTACACCCCAATTTATTTTTGTTCCGGAAGAAAGAAAAGAGGAAACAGCAGATTAAAGAATTTTGAAAAGGGAGGGGAAAAAGTAACAGAAAATTAACATTTACATCTGAACAAGGACTATTCAAATTCATATTAGCTTAATGAAAAGAATCCAGCAAAAAGTTATTTACAAAACAAAAACATTACAGTATATAAACTAAGCTAAAGGGGGGGGAAAAGAGCTCCTGTGGCTATTACCGTAGTGGTTGGTACAAGTTGCTCGGCTGTCTTAAGCATTCCCATGGAATAAACATTACCTTACCTTTACTCTTGGCGGTGGCTCTGGCCAGCAGGAATGCCTCATCCTGACGCAGAAAACAGCCATCCTGAAAATGCTGAAGAACAGCTTCTGTCACTGGTCCCACTGCAGTGCCGGCGTCCCTGCTGCAGCCAGCGCGCGACAGCACGAGGCAGGCTGCAGCTGGAGCCAACTGGGAAACTGGAAAACTTACCTCCCATAGCTTACCACTCCCCCCTCCAAATAGTGACCAAACTGTCAAGCTGTGCTCCACTAAAATAGCAAGTTTCCCCATCTCCCAGATGGGAAGAATAGCTCTGAACAGTAGCAAACAGGTACACTGTTCAGACCTGGAGTTAAACTGATTCTGTTTAGCAATCAAGAAACTTCTTTGCTCCTCCACCAGAACTTGAAATTTTTGGTAGCTGATCAAATAGTAGCAAGCATTAATTGGAGATAAATAGTGTATCACCTATAGTAGTACATTCTGATGGTTATTGCAAGGCAGTCTGACACATGCAGCTGATTCACCAGGTTATTGGTTTAGATTCTGTGCCAGATGCAAAATTTATCAAAATAAAAACAGAGGAAGACCCTTGAAGGGTCTGATACCAAAAAACCCCAAACCAAAGCAAAAGAGTCCACACAGGAAGTCTTGAACAACTCATTTCCAGTTATAACCATCACAATGCTCATTAGCAAAGCCACAGCCATTTGGTGGCATTTCAAGATCACAGACATTCAATTAAATTTTTTGAAGTTTAATATAGTGTTTAACTCCACTTTCATAATTTTCCTCCAATACATGAGGTCAAGTCAAGTGCTCTTCCTGATCTCCCTTTTCACCTTCAGGTGACTGAAAGCGTACAACAATACAGGAAAGCACTGATACTTCTGAGGAGACAGCATAGGCATATCCCTGAGGCATGCCATTTTTAAGAACAGGGAGGAGGGATGGTAAAGACTTATTTTCATGCCAAATGGTGGAACCAAAAGTGAATTTGGCCTTATTCAGAAAAATGAATAAGGTTGTCTGTAAATGGGCAACTGTCTATAGATAATTTTAAGTTACCCATATCAAGCATCAGTTGCAGCAGTAGCCCCCAACATAATCAAGCTGGTTTGTTTTTTCCTTTCCCTTCTCACTCTCTCTCATTCAGCAGTTTGGCTGAAACAAACTGAGACCATTACACTACAGAAATTAGGGGTAACCCTGCTGCAAGCTCTTTGCTAAAGATAAAAGTAGCTCCTCAAGCCCTGTAGTGAAACAATGACAGAAGCTCTTCTTGGGAAAAGCTAGTGCTGTTAAAACCTTAATCATGATTTGTTGTTAATTATCAAAGTACGTTCATATATTTTATAATAAAGACAACTAGAAAATACTACAAAGAAAACAATACCACAGAAACATTCATTGTTATTCATATTACATGAAACAAAGCAAACTTTAAGACTTAAAAAACAGAACATCATTTTGATAAGACATTTAAAATCAGGAAAACATTTTAAAAAGACATTTCACCTAACAGTGCACCCAAGCGTACTTACCCAAGAAATGAACCTCCAGCTTACCAGCACACTGAAACGTGTACTACTAGCAGTAATACTGCTCCTACTCCTCAAGGGAAATGTGTAGAGAATAAATTTAGTCAAAATTTCAACTTTAAATCTGCACAGCACGTGCAACAAACAGGTGACAAAAAATGGTGTGAATGTCAAGTCCCATGTTGTTATCTTCAATACGACCCTTAGCAACAAACAGCAGCCATTCCTAGAGGCAGCAATGTTTTCTAACACTTCTACCTGAAACTTGTCTGACCATTCTCTGTAGGATCAGTAAAGACTATGCCCACAGACTTCTTGAGACCTGCTCAAATTAGATTTTAAGCAGTGCTCTCACAAATGTTTCGGTCCGCTTCTTGAAAACTGTTATTAATGCCAATAATTTAAGATTAGTGTTTTGTCAGACTGAATTTTATTCCAAGATAAATTTACAGAATTTTAAAGAGAAAAACAATTAGGAGACCTGCACATAAGAATCTTATGAAAAAAGCAAGTTATGCAGTTAAGCTTATGCTGTTAGGGAAGAACTTTAAACTATACTCAAAACCAAAGAGAAGAGCCAAAAAGTCCATTTCTTCCAGGATACCTAAACTCCCCCTCCCTTCTCCAAGAACTTGCCTGGGTATTCAGCAACTGATCCATCAGCTGTAGGAATCCTATCTTGGATTATTGAATTGCTCTTGAATTTTACCCCAAAATTTCTAGCTAGTCAAAACATTTAAGTCATTCTGCAATGAAACCTTAAGATTTTACAGTTGGCCATGAGATGGAGCCCTCTGGGGTTGTTAAAAAAAGGATGGATATTACTTACTGGTCCACTGAAACCCGCAAGCTGCGTGATCATCAGACACACTATGGAAAGGATGAGCCTGGTGCGGCAGAAAATCCACACAACCCTCCGGAGAGAAGCATCATCAGGCCCACTTTCTTTCAGTTCTTCCTGCCACAATCTTTCCAGCCTAGTAAAACCAGAAGATTTATGACATTTATTCATGTCATAAATTTTTCACCATGAGAAAAGATAGTCTCATAGATAATTCTTTGTTAAAACTCTAAGTGCTTCCTAGCTCAGAGCAACAAAAAATAATATTAAGAGAAATAAATACATTCTGTGAGGTAAAGAGAAATATCTATGTATTACTGCTACAGGACAGAGGGATGAAAAACACAATGCTTTTTCTTTGCCTGGAGTCTCTTTGGCAATCTTAATATAGTGACAGCCTTTCTCTGCTGAACTGACGGAAGAGCTGCAGAATCAAAACCTGAAGAAATTCTCATTAACCACAGAAGGTTAGCTTGATCAGAAGATCTGATCCACATTCAAATCACCTTGCTACTGACAGTATTATTTCTCATTTTAGCACAAGATTTTTTTCACTGTAGCCTTGAGAAAAAAAAATTGTTTTAATAAAAAAACAGATTAAAGACATGCAAAATCAGAATAAGAATTGCAAGACACTCCTAAAGATATAATCCTCTAATTTCACTGAAATTGGCAAGGCTACAGAAACTGTGCTGCATAAGAAAGTTGTCTCTGAAAGACAAAAGTGAATTCCACCATTGTGTGAAAGGCAAAACAAAATGTCAATGCTGCTCTTCTAGGGAAACACTATACCACTGCCTGTGCACTAACATGTAGTAAATGGAAACAAGAAAATAATGACGAGCTAGATGTCTTTACCTTCTACAATTGATATCTGAAGATTCATGCCTTGATAAAGACCACACATCATCCATAAACAATTCTCCTTTCTTGTATGCTCTGTGGGCCAAAGGAGTGAGCCAGGAGAAGGTCATGGAGGAGAACAGCCCAGCATTATCAACAGGGTGCTGGTGCCTAAAAGAATTTAAAAAAAAATCACAAACAAATGAAAAAGGAAACAGGAAATGTAAATCTTCAAGAAAAACAAAGCCTCCTCTCATTGAAAGCACTCAGAGTACCAAATGGTCCACACTTGCTACACAAATTCTGATGTTTCCAGTACCAGTCAGCAGACCTACATCTGCGATTGTGCTTTGTGACTGGTTTGAAAAGCAAATGCTGTATCAGTTCTGTGGTAGCCTAAAGACGTACTTGGAAGTGGTCCGTATGGGTTTCAGTGCATTCAGACCATGGTGGTATTTGCCCTTGTGATGCTCTTCGTCCAGCATTCTCAGCTGGGAATGCACAGAGGTGTCCAGTGGCAGGCCCTCTGCCCGAGCTGCTGCTTCCAAGGCATCCTGGCATTCAATCTGCTTTTACAAGAAAGACAACAGATTCAGACTTCAAAACTACATTTGAAGTCCATGACTCCCATCTCCAGCAATTTTGCACCTCTTTCTTCTGCAAATTATTGTGCAACAATCACAGTCATTTCAATGTCTTAGACCACAGGCTTCATCCTGGCAGCAAAGCCATGGAAGGCACAGCTTCTACATCTGTGTTAGACTGCTGAATTTGCAAAACATGAATTAGTACCGGTATTGTGCCTGTGCATTCAAAGGATAAATGGATAGACCAGACTAATCCTGCTACAGGAAATACAGTACAGAAAGATGACAACATGAAGTACCTATGACATCAGTTCAGGAAATCAATGACTGACTTACGCAGTGAAATTAAGACATTTTCTTGATAAACTTACACCCTTTTAGTATAATTTAGATATTCTTATCCACAGAAAATACAAAGTATTTTCAGAATGCTACTAAAATTCCTTCTTCAAAAACACTTTGGATTAGATAAAGAAACAACAAATATGCACTAAGCAGAATTGTACTTCCTTTTATCATGTTTCCTGGTTTTCCTCTTTTCCCCTAATCTAAATGGAACAAAGATGACAAATTTCTCTGCTCCCAGGCACAGCTTCTCAATGGCTCAGCAACTTTGGTAACAGCCGCTTACTTAAAAGGCAAAACCTTATCTCAGGGAGGGTTTCCACAGCCTCAGTGAAAGACAGACTTAAATGCTAATCCAAGAGGAGAAACAGCAGTGACACATGGTAGTCAAAACGTTGCAGAGTTCAAACAGATCTTTTGAAGAACATCCAGATGTGCCAATACTACATGAGGAGATGAGCCTGTTACCTGTACTGGCAGAGGGCCCTTGACTGGTTTTGCTAACTTAATGCACCATTTATTGCAGGACCATGTTACTTGATTGTATTCTAGTTTATTGCAACTGAGCTACTTTGTAGAAAAAAAGACCAACACATTTCTTCTTACAAAGATACTATGACTCTGCCTTTATTAGTTGACTTACCAGAGCCAAGTTAGCTTATTTCCTTAAAAAGAAGCAATTTTAACACACTGTAGCCTCCAGCAAACACAAAATGCAGGTATTTGGTTCCTGACTTCCAAGTCATATAATTGTTTTTGGAAATACTGCCATTTATCATAGGCTTTGTCTGTAGTTTGTTAACATGTAATTATATAGCACATTAAGATGTTGTTTCCACCCATGTGAAGGATGAGAACAGGAAACCGATAATATCAAATCTGTCCCTTATTTACTTAACTGATGTACTTAAATAGTGCCTAAGCATGTTGTCAACAATCCATGGTTCTATCTCAAAAAACATATTTGCTAAGCTATCACCTAAAGCTATGGTAACAAAAGATAGCCAAATAACACAAAAACAAAAGAATCTTAAAACCTTATGACAAGTGGAGTGACTCAAAAATACACAGTACCTGGAATCTGAATTAAAAGACTTCTCACTCAATTTATATTAAATTACTGACTCACTAAGGCAACACTGCCTTACTAAATCTGTGTAAATCAGCATTAGTAAGGGACCTGCCATAAACATCCCAAAGGAGTCAGTAGAGGAAAGAGTTCTGCATCACCTCTTTTCTGGATAGAGCAGAGGAATTCTTAACTGGTTTGTTGTGTCACCCTTGCAAGACGCCCCAGGCAGATCTGCCCAAACATCTTGTTGCTGATAACACACTTGTTTCCAAGTGATGCCATAAGCTAGTTGCATAAACATTGCTTTTCACAGTACACAAAATAGCCTATAAGCAAAAAAATTTAAAAACTTCCAAAACAGAAAACAGTATGTTGATGAGCATAAAAGTAGATTTTCACCACTTAGAAACAAGAATAGCTTTTTAATAAATAAGCACAGTTGCAGGGGGTTTAGGCAGTCCAAAGATAATATTCATAAACAATCACTGTGAAAAATAACTAAACTCTCCAAAGCTGCTCAAGAGAGTTCTCTCAGCAGATGTGGAAAAGCTGCATTGATAAAGACAAGGGCACTGCCTTTGAAAGGCCTTTATAATGTCTTGCCCCAGAGACAAGTACAAGCACAAACCCCTCGTTGAGAGCATTGCTCATCTTCATCTTGGTAAGACTGTCAAAATCCCACATGCAAGACTATCAAGAAAATAATGCATCACGCCACTGTACAATTAAGATTTAAGAACAACTCTACACTTCTGTGTAGTTCTTTGAAGATTAGAAAATCTTCAAAGCAGAGTTTATCAGGAAGAAGTGAAACTCCTAAGTTGTTCAACAATGCACTTCAGGAACAAAAGACTGAAGTAAAAAAAAAAAACCAAAACAATCCCAACACTGCTAATTTAGGTTTCTGATTAGGTTTTCTGATTGCCTGCATGTGTGCACAGTTTTCTTGGAAACCAATGCCTTGAGTCATTACTAATGTGCTACAAAAGGCTCCAGCTCTGCTATTAAAATAGAAGTCTAATAAACATGAAAAATAAATTAAAATACACTTTTTCTAATTCATCAACTTATTAATATGCCAAAACAGGCAATGAAATGACTGATACAACATGATATTGATAACTCCAAAGAAATGCTCACAGAAATAAAGCAAGCCTAAATCAGATACTGCTAAATGGAAGAGGAAGATTTATTCAGACATTTATTGAAAACAGCAAATGACTACTCAGCACCAAAAGGTCAAAAAAACAATGAAGAACTGTTACAAAAGGCACAAGGGATAAAGCTGAAAATATTACCATACCACTTAAAAACCCCTAGGGTGTGCATCCTTTTTGAACACCAGACTGTGTTCCTTGTCACTTCAGTTCAAAAAGGGTATTAAACTTACTTTCCTTGAGCAGTAATAACAATGGAGCTTGGAATAGCATAAACTTACAATGTTTCAGCTGGATAGAAGAAAGGAATAAAGGTACAGGTATTTGAGAGGTCCAGAAGGCCTGAAGAAAGAACTATGACCACCAACTGTTCTTACAAAAAAAGAACAAGGCACACTTAAATTTAAAATTCTTTATCATAGGATACTGTAAGGTTCAAATGCATAAATGCACTAAATACTGGATAATTAAACTCACATAGGATAAGCATATCATGGCTTACTAAATACATGACAGAGGGCAAGAACAATCATTGATCCAGCAGCTTATTAATAGCTGGTGGATGCCAAATAAATTTTCTGCAGCCATAGGCATCTCATAACAGCATAATAGTTCTGCACTCCACATGCCATGAAGCTCTGACACACCTGAATACATGCTGATATAATCCAATAGATGACTGTAAGAATTAACAGATTAAGAAAACAGTTAAACTTTTAATCTTGGGCCCAATCCCCAAGAGTGGGGTGAGCCCCAAGGAAGCATCACTGCACACATGATCTTCCTTCATGGGTGTGCCACAGAGGGGCAGAGAAAGAGAAGCACAGCAGGAGCTGCTACCACAAAGCAAAGTGTGCTCCTGCCCCATCTGACTTTCTAAAGCTCAGGAAAACAACAAAATCCATACCAGCACCTGTTAGCATGAATTCCTTGTCAAAAAATTGGTCATAGCAATAGTAAGCAACTAAGGTAATGAGAGTCAGAAAGATTACATGGTTGGCTCAAGACATATGACAGAAAGCCTGAGTAAGGTGAGGAAATTATTCTACCTCACCCTATAAGGGTGTACCACATTAGCAAGCAGTCTACCTCATGCAATCAAAGTCTGCTGCAAAACAATATCAAACTTGCATTCCACAAAGATCTATAGTTAGTGGCGAAATAACAGCCTACATCTGCTTCCAGCTTTTTTCTGGCAATACAGATCATGCTTACAGCTTAGTCATTTTCTGCTCAACCTAGTTCAAATCCTGATCCAGATTTTCTATGAGAAATTTGAGAGAAATTCCAAAGGGGAAACTATTTGCTCATTAAGTTAGAGACAGCTGTACCAAATCCACAATCCGAGGTTATGAAAATGCAGGACATCCAGGAGCCAAGCTACAAAGCTGTCATATACACGTGATGTCAGCAGTTCCATAAGGAAGCAAGAATGGTATGAGGAACCCTAATCAGAAAGGCAAGTAAACTCAACTATGTGAACTTGCACACTTCTGAAAACATACTAAGCAGGCAACATGGGCATCTGAGGGTGGGGAACAGGTAAAGAAAAATGGAGCAGCTGTCAGGTGGGAAGGAAGAAGGCCACCCAGGGAGATTCTAGCCTTTCACACAGTCCTATAACAATCTCCTAGTTGAAGGAAGGTAGTAAATTATTGGTTTGACAACTGTTACATCATACAACTGCAAAACCAGACAAGACAGGAGGCAAAGTAAAATAGATTTTTCCATCCCTTACTCATCTTGCAGATGAAGAATCTTATGTGCATACAACCCAAACTCCACTCACTGAACAGCTATTGTCCCTTCTTCCATAAGGCAGAACACCTTCCAGGGCTCAGATCACAGCAGGGAAGAAGCTGCATCTCTTCTGGTCCTACCAGCAGCTGACAGGAAACTAGAACAGACCTAAAACTACTTTTTTACTAATCCTTGCACCTGACATAGAATACAAAAGTTACTGTGATTGACTTATTATTACATAAAGTTAAAATTGCTTGATTTAAGTTGTAAAGGTCTCTGAGCTGGCAACACTGCAGAACAGAACTCCCACCTCTTGCATTTAGCAGCCAGAGCTCAGCAGGCTTCCTCATGCCCTTAAAGCTCCCAGCAAGGAGACAAATGGGAAACCTAGAGATCAGAACAGCAGAGCTCAGAACTAGGTGGGCATGTGATGAAAAAGAGAATTATATCATCAGTGCTGCTCAGTGCTTAAAGCATTCTCCATATTACAACTCCAGGATGAAGAGCAATTTAAAAATATTTAAAACTTCATTAAAAGATTGGTGTTGCAAAACAAGATAAGTTATTAGTTTGTATGGGCTGGGGAAGGGAAGAAAATAATCAACTGTTCCATTTAGCTTAAGCACAACTAAAATAAAACAAGAGTCTAAGAAAAGATTCTCTGA